GGCAGTTCAAACCCACCAGCCACTCCTCGGAAGGAAGATGGGGCAATCTATTTCCGTAGAGATACTGCCTCGGAAACCCGAGGAGGGGTCGCTATGAGTCGGGTCCGACTCGATGGCACATAACAACAACATGTATAGTATACACTACCTTTCCACTCTAAGAACTGGAAATATTAAAAAATTTTAGTTATGTTATGCTGTTTAAGGGCAAGAATGAGATTTCTTTTTGTCTTGTCTCTTTCTACATATGGTACTCCATTTCTCTTTGTCTTACTGCTCATGTGTGTCTCTGTATTTCTCACAGAGGTACACACACCTCACCCATGGGAATATGTAGTAGCACATTTTAATGTTAAGCAAAATGAAAAAATTATGTTTCCATTCTGTGATGTATTTTCTATTTTTTGTTTGATTGCAAAAAACTTGATAGTTCTTAATTTTCTAACAGCTCATCTCTAGAATTTCAATGGACCACCCCCATCATACTTTGTTTATTATATTGGCCTTAGCAAATGCAAATAAAGATGAATTTCTGACCAAACCAGAGGCAGCAAGAAGGAGTAGAATAACAAAAAATGCACCCAGACAAAGCTCTCAACTTGATGAGGTATTCAGATTAAATACAACTTTTTGAATTTTGATATTCATTCTTTCCCAGAATATTCCTTTCTTTAAATCTTAGGAACTCTAAGAATGTGTATTGCTGATGATATTTAGTTTTAAAATCTTTGTTATGATACCAACTAAAATTAGTTCATGATTTCTGAGTATTTCTCAAAGCACAGGAAATACCAGTAGCATTTTACTTTTTTTCCTTATAACAATGGGCAAAGAAAAAGAAAATTTAAGGCATTTAAGTAATCAACTCTCAAGATTACTATACTTGTGATGTATTTCATTCATAAGTTGATTGTTGTTTATTTTTAACTTTATATTGTGTTTTGGGTGAAAGTATACAGAGCAAAAGGTAAATTTTTTTTTTTTTTTTTTTTTTGTAGCTAAGGAATTATATCTAGTTCTTCTATTCTTTAGATCCATGTATAAATCCTGTTTTTTGTTTGCTTGTTTATTATAACTGACAAGTTTAAGTGTGGGAGTTCTGGTGACATAGTTCCTAAGCATTTGGCTTTTAACCAGAAGGTTGGTGATTCTAACCCACGTTTTTTTTTTTTTTTTTTTGGTTTAGTTTTAAGTGTTGTTTGTTTCCTCATGTAATGTTTTTTTGCTGCTGTTTTTGTTTTTCCTTTAATAGGATCGAACTGAAGCTGCAAACAAAATAATATGTACTATCAAAAGTAGGAGACCTCAGATGGTCAGAAATGTTGAGGCACTTTGTGATGCTTATATTCTGTTAGCAAACTTAGATGCTACTCAGTGGAAGACTCAGAGAAGTATGTGTTTGGAAAAATGAGTGTTGCTTTCTTGCTATGTTATTCTCTATAAGGAGACTATGCATTATAAAGTGAAATGTGTTAAGTCTGTTTAAAATTACAGACAGTGCTGTGATTATAAATATGAAGGTCCTGATGATTACAGGTCACACATGATCCAACAACTTAATTTTTATGCTTCAACCCCTCCAGGTCAGTTTTTCATTTAATATCTTTTGGCACACCAGTAATAGGTAAATATAGTAAATGAGGAACACTGGTGATTCAGTTGTATAATTTTCACTTCCATGTGAGATACATAGTTCTGATTCCTGGCCAGTGTACTTCAAGCACAGCCACCCTTCATCCATCAGTGCAGATTGGCATGTTGCTGTGATGCTGAACAAGTTTCAGTGGAGCTTCCAGACTGAGACAGTCTAAGAAGAAAGGCCTGGTGATCTACTGCCAAAAATCAGCCAGTGGAAGCCCTGTGGGTCACAACAGTTCGTTCGCGTTATGCATGGGATCACCACAAGTTGGGGGCTGACTCTACAGCAGCTGTCAGGAACACTAAGTGAATTACTTGATTTTTCCTAGTAATCTTCTGATACAAATACTTGTTATAAAGAATTGTATAGAGGCAAGCTTATTAAAATAACTTAATAATTTAGAGTTTATAGGGTTTTTTTCTTTTTTTTAGTAATAATAATGTTTTTCACTTGCCCTAGGACTTAAAAATGAAAAGGCCTAGTAACCATTTCCTTTATATGTGCTAAGGAGCTAGTGGTACAATGCCTAAGGCATTTGACTGCTAATGAGAAGATTGGTGGTTCAAACCCACCAGCCACTCTGTGAAAGGAAGATGGGGCAGTCTCTACTTCCATAAAGATTTACTGCCTTGGAAACTCAGTAGGGGTCACTATGAGTCGGAATCGACTTGATGGCGGTGGGTTTTTTGGGGTCTATATGTGCTAGAATGCCTTACATGTAATTCATGACTTTTCTTGGTTCATCTATTCACAAGCTTCTGTAATATTTGGTAAGGAACTCTGGTGACACTGCAGTTAAAGTGTTGGGCTGCTAACCAAAAGGTTGGGGGTCGAACCCACTGACTGCTCCATGGGAGAAAGATGGCAGTTCTGCTCTGTCCTGTAAGGTCACAATCAGTTGGAATCGACGCAGGGGCAGTAGGGTTTTTTTGCTGGGTAATAATTTGGTTATGTGGCTAATCTCTAAATGTTTGTATATTTAGAGCTATCTCTTTCCATACTTAAAAGTTTATTCCTTTTTCTATTCAGTATCATATTTTCAAGTTTAAATTCTTACTGGGACATCACATAGTGTTTCTCTAATGAAACAAAAAGTTTTGTCACATCCTGTAGTCACATTAATGGTTATATGACAAGATTGCATTATTTATTTGCTGTGCAAACTCTTAAGTAGTTACTTTAAGATGCTCAATTGGTCTACTTACTGGTGCCAGATAACCAACAAATTTATCTGTAGACTATGTTAACCATTGCTGTGCTTTGACCCTGAGCTATGTAATGTCCCAAGCCCTAGGTCTTTATTTTTAAATCAGATCCTGAACCACAGATTAGACACAAGTTGGGGCTTCTGGCATCTGGTTAATACTCCTGTTTATATAAGTTTGAAAGCTGCTCCTCAATTTGCAGATATCACTAAACTTTCTTTATTTTAAATGCAGAAGGCATAAATATTCCGGCAGACCAGCCAATTACTAAACTGAAGAATTTAGAAGATGTTATTGTCCCTACTATGGATATTAAGGTAATTGAGCATTGACTTTTGTTATTAAACTGAATTCTTCTTTATTAGGTTGAACCACTTGAAATAGCTTTTTTTGTAGTTTAAAATTGGTTAAATATTGGCAGTTTCTTATTGTTCAACCTACAGTTTTTCTTTGTTAGATTCTCTTTCCCTGAAATACTCTAAGACTTCTGCTTTCCTTTTCTTTACCTTCAGCCCCAGGGTTACAGGTGAGGAGAGACAACTCAGGGACGCCCAAAGTAGCAAGCGGGAAGAGAGGAGAAAGGGGATTAAAAGCCAGGAAGCCAGAGAGAAGAGCAATCAGCCGAAGGGATTAGGTGAGGAGAGGCAACTCAGACCCGCCCAGAGTAGCAGGCCAGAAGAGCAGGAGAAAGGGAATAAAAGGAGGAACCTGGACAGAAGAGCAGTCAGCCCCAGGGTTATAGGTGAGGAGAGACAACTCAGGGACGCCCAAAGTAGCAAGCGGGAAGAGCAGCCAGGAAACCAGAGAGAAGAGCAGTCAGCTGAAGGGATTAGGTGAGGAGAGGCAACTCAGGGCCCGACCAGAGTAGCAGGCCGGAAGAGCAGGAGAAAGGGGATAAAAGCCAGGAACCTGAACAGAAGAGCAGTCAGCCCCAGGGTTACAGGTAAGGAGAGACAACTGAGGGACGCCCAAAGTTGCAAGCGGGAAGAGCAGGAGAAAGGGGATTAAAAGCCAGGAAGCCAGAGAGAAGAGCAATCAGCCGAAGGGATTAGGTGAGGAGAC